TCATGAGGATGTGACATTTGTACCAAACAAACATGCTTTCTTACTTCTGTAGAACAAGATTTGTAGGCCAGTACTTTATTATAAAGCTGCACACACTTTACCTTTATCAAAAAACGGCAGCTTCTGCAATTTGGATATTGCATTTGGCCATATTGCTTGATTTCGATAGTATTTTGATTCATTTAAACATTTGGTGCTCTAGTGCAAGGGGCAGCAATCTTAGAGAAGCCTAACCAATGGCACACTGGCAATAAGTGTGCAAGAGACTGCATATGACTTCTTGGCTGTTGTGCTCTCTGTCTTACTAGCACCTCATGGTATGTATGTGTATAGTTGATTTCCAGTCAGATGTGGATGTTTTTAGTGTCTTCCTGTATAGAGCTCATATTTCTGTTTGTTTTTTCTCCCTTTTTGACATTTGGTGCAAACTGCAACACTTGAAATCAGTATGAAATCAGTATGAAATCAGTATGCTGAAATGGGAACTGTGCATATAATTTGAACCCACAGGGGTTCAGAGGGTAAACAAATACTATTTGTTAGGTTTATTTCTGATAAACAAGCTTGGTGGAAGGTCGGGAAGGTTAATGATTTTAGCTCAGATGTGCATGTTTTCATGAGGATGTCAGCCGTCTTGTACAGAGCTCTCATATATAATTACAATGTCCTGATTATGGGAGAAAATGTATTTTTTTATGTTGCTAGGCACGTTATCTATATGAACTGAATACAATTATCGAACCGTGGAGATTAACATTTTAATTCCACTGATGAACAAGAAATCTTACAGTATTTCTGGTAGCAGGACGGTGTTCACAGTGTTCATTATCAACAGTGTAACAGTTTTTAGGCGCATGCATAAAAATGTGGCTTTGGCTGTACAAATAATGCTGATTAGTGGAATAAATGTATTGTTTGTTTGGGATTTGTTGACAGTGAGAAAAATCTGAACTTTTGCAAGCCTCATCCTTTAATTTGCCAGTGTGTCTCTTGTTCTTAACTTGCTTAAGTCTCTCACAGATGGAAATCGTTGATCACTACATAAAATACATAAATAAGTGAGATTATTTCATCTACATGTCTTTATTTAATGTCTCCTCCTGCTGTGAACTGAACTCCCAGCAGCAGTACCTGATGTTATTAACACACAGAGAGGGCAGCAGGGTAATGTGAGAGATCCAGCATGCTAGGTGCAACATTTTCAGATGGATGGTGGCCCTACTGGCAACATCACAACTGCCCAAAAAGATTTCATCTCAGCTCATGGCCCTTTTGCTGCTCGCTGCTGGCCGAGTGATTTAACACAAAAGTGATTCAACCTATTCCCTGCTCATGAAAGCTTTTTATGATTGCTGTTTTAAATGCTCAGTGCCTGATGCTGTAGGTCATTTGCCGGGGGGAAAAAATGCTCTGGCGCACAGGAAGTGATGCGTTTTATGTTTCCAGCAGCAGCTAGTTTTATTTGGAATAAACAGAAGAATAAAAAAAATAGTGCCAGACACAATTTGATTGAGGGGAGTTCTTTAGGAAGTGACAACAGAGCACTGAACACTAAAGATGTCTCGATGATCTAAAATAACACTAAAGAAAAGTTCTATATATCATATTTCAAACACAAACCACTGCCACTCCTATGCCTGCTCTTGGAGATATGCTGTCAAAATAAAGCACAACAAATTATAATTAAACTGCAGTAATTACACAATATTTCAGTGTTTCAGTCCAAGAAAAAACACTTTCCTAACACTCCTTTAATCAAAATTATAAAAAAAAACATTGTTGTATTAAAATAAAATATTTTATTCACATTTTTCAAGTTGCATCTATCACATTACATAACACTACATTCCTTTAGCTGACGCTTAATGACCTACAATAAGTAAAGTAAATTATAAACTATGAAACACAAGCATTTTATTGATGTTATTTTGTATGAAAATAATAATGTAGATACAATTTTAAATATATAGCCTACACTATATTGAAAAAAGCCAGTGTATCTATGTACATGTGCAATGTTTACTGTTTACTCTGTAGAGCTACTGCATGATCCTGCAGGAGGGATCGTTCCACTATGTCTTTATCCGCACTGAGAGTCTAAGGATGTTTTTTGGGGTTATGTAATCAAAACAGGAGCAGGATTCACATTATTTTCATTCAGTGAGCCCTCGTATAAGGTCATTCACCTTCGTTAGGTTATTTAGTCTTTACAGTCTGTGCAAAGTGAGTCTCGAGGCCTGCAGAATAAACTTGGCATCAAATTGACATACTCCCGGCGCAGCCACAATAGAGTTTGATAGCAGAACATGTTTATACAATCCAACTCTGCACCTGCATTTGCACAACAATACAAGGAGACATCCATTGTAGGAGAGGAAGAGATACCTATCTTCTCCATGGACAAACTCCTCAAAAGACTAAAATGCTATAAAAAAAGACTATAATCCTCCAGCTTTCACATCTTGGCAAATTTATTGTAATTTGAACATAATGGCAGCACTTTCTTTGACGTAAGAACTTCCTATCACCTCACTTAAAACTTCCTCTCTTCAGACTGTTTTTGCTGAAAGGCATTCTGGGTTATTTTTTTTCTGTAACTAAAACAGATGCACGACAAGCAGAGGGTTTTTTTTGGGGGGGGTGAGGTGAGGAGAAGGGGAAGTAAATTACAGCACTTCATCACAAAATCGCTCCTGGAATGGGGTGGACGTAGGAGATTGATTCCAAAGAGCGCGAGCATAATGAGGGGGGGATTGATGGTTGAAAGCATCTGCTTAAGGGCACCGGTGCGTCCGACGTCCTCGTCCTGCAGGACACTGCATCATCGCACGACTCTCGGCTCCTGCGTCATGACATCACTCACCTAAATGAAGCCTGTCTGTGTTTCCTCAGCAGGGAGAGCAGTAATGAGACAGCACATTATTGCAATGTTCTGGTTGCAAGTGACATGGCCTGTAGAAGCCGCTAACAGATGTTTGACAATGAATAAATGAGGATGTGGAAAAAGCAACTATTTTTTTTAGAGGAAACCAGGTTGCTGAACACTATTTTTTTAGCCTGAATAAGATATTTCTCTCCCTGCAGTCTCTAAATAAAGAAGGTATAGAGAAGATGAGGTCAGCCCACTCTAATCAGCACTTCGTAAATGTGTAATTATTACGTCAACGAGGGATTTGAATCGCCTACCATCCTTTAAATATGTTGCTTTTCCAGTTAGTGTTATCCTCATCTTGTTGGAGCAGGTGTCACATTATTTCTGACTTTTTTTTAATCATTATTATAAAGAAAAATATGATTTGAGTGCAAACCCACTCACATCGATTTGTCAAAGACACAACAAGCGTATTAAGTACTCTAATATCGATCCCTCTTGTTTTGATCTTGTGCTCTGATACATCTTATGTCTTTTGTTCTCTCTGAAGATGCTCGTTGGAACTGTTGTTTCGGTTCGGTTTGTCTATCACTGTCGATGATTAGAGCCCAGGTTATGCAGGTTTTCTTAACATCAGTATAAAAGCCCAAAACAACACCAACCACCCGGCAACAAAGAAGCAGCAAAACAGCAGCCTAATTCTTCAATTATCACATATTTTGATCACTTCTCCTGAAAGAATATATTGTGAATGTCATCATAAAACTGATTAGCAGAGCAATATATTTATTTAGGCTTTTATTAAGGTATCCACAGCTTTTAGCCTTTACAGAAAGTCAAGTTGTAGAAGAAAATCGAGCGAGAATGTTGCAGCTGCTTTATTTCTGTGGGTAGGCCAGTGTAAGTGTTGGAGGTCAGTGTAAATGTGAGTGCATTAGGTTCAGCAGAAACTTTAGGTTGACTCTGGGACCAAAAGTTGATCCTGAAGTCAACAAAATCTGATAAAAAAAGCCAGTCAGTGTTGATATAAAGGCACAACAGGGCATTGAGAGGGTTGCTACTTCCCTCAGAGGCAAACAGAGACTCTTAATCTCCTCAGGAAGGGAACTACACTGATATTACTCCATTTTTTAATCTAGTCTGTCACCAATATTATTTTTCATTGATGACTGATGAGCATTTCAGACATTCTATTACTCATGTCGTAAAAAGTAGCTGCAGTTATTCAGTTCTTGATATTATTTTTGCATTTCAAACACTAATTTAATTGCAAATTTAAATTATTGTGTTTTAACTTAAGATACAGTCGAGTTCAGATTAAAATTTTCAAATATTTTTGGGGGTTTTCCCTTTCAAAGTTCCTAAATCTTCATCTCACAGCTAGTCTGCATATTAGCAAACCTGACTACAAAATTACAGCAATATCCATTACCAAAAATACTGAATAATCATCAGCACTGACAAACACAGGTGTGTATGCTAAGCAGGTGCTGGTTGATGAACCAACTGATGTTCATGTTGAGCCCAAAATAAAACACTCCAGAGCAACAAACACTACGTTTCCAACCTCAGCTGTGCGTCATGTGCACACAGAGAAACAAACACAAACCGAGCCGAGTCAGGAATATATTTAAAACATCTTTAATTGTGCGGTTATAAAATTCAAAATTCAAACTAAGTAGAAAAAAATATTTTTTTTTTTTCTTCAAACATCTAGCTCATTAAAAAGAGAGTGAGTGTTGTACTATTTTGACATTTCGTGGTTTTAAAGTGATATTTCGTGTGCTTACTTTTGCTACACATACTCTTGTGTGTTCTGACCCAGTATCGGCTGTTCCAGGTTGCACTGAAAAAACTGGGGCGATGGAGTGTTCCAAGTTGGGTTGTTTTTTTTCCCAGATTTGTGCTTTTTGAGATGCTATTTTAGTGTTAGTTTTTTCCCTTTTTTTTGTTTAGTGGAGGTTGTTTTTTCCAAAGTGGGAAATAACAAATGGTTGCAGAAGAGAAGCGGGTTGGAGAGATCAGGTTAGGAGGAGAGAGAAGAAAGAGAGAAGAAGAAGAGAGAGATGAGAGAGGAGAGAGAGAGAGAGAGAGAGAGAAGAAAAGAAGAGAGAAGAGAAGAAGAGAGAGAGAGAAGAGAGAGTACTAACAACAGAAGATTAACAACAACAGCGCTGGCTCCTGAGAGGCAGCAAGTCTGAGGCTGATTCCTGCCTCCAGAGAAATATCACTTTAAAACAGATACACAGTGTAAACAGCAGTAAAAAAATCTGTAGCTCTGTAGACAAATAAAGACAAATATATTTCCATATGTTTACATTTTTAACAATAAATAAAAAGATGCTTTATGATGCTGCTGGCCAGGAACAACAACAAAAATATGTTCCCCATTACAGATTTTACAGATCAGTCTTTTTTTCTTTTCAACAAACCTTTAAATGGAATCATTACTAAAATTGACCAACTAACAATCATAATGTAAATATAGTGTAACACTTTTCCATGTACAGTACAGCGTACTATAGAAAATTACACCTACCATTCACCTATTTCCTCAAGCTGTGACTCATCTTTCACAGCGCTGGTCAAACTTAAAGCACTCAGCTGTGAAAAGACACTTGAGGCCTCCTCTATAATTTCCACCTTTGTTTACTCTACCAAAGGTGCAAAAATAGATGAATGAAATATGGTCATTATTTAATGGCGGTGTGTATACAAATCCATGATTCAGTAACAGACATGAACATATAAAAAGGTTATAATGGACATATTTACATTCTTTGTCAATTAAAAGCATTTCAGTTGGACAAACGGGGCCCAGACTGTATAACACTGACATTAACAATAAAAAATAAAGTTTCAGTCTACAGTTGTGGAAAGTGTTCAGCACAAAACGTGCTTTTGTTGAGACAGAACCTGACATTGAAGTCAGTTCAGGCAGGTTCAAGGTTTCAAACCGTATGAACAGCGTCTGAGCAGGACCTAACTTCCCATCTTGCCCCCGTGTTTCGTGTCTCGTCGCACTTCCGGCGTACACCGGCTCCCGCGCCGCCTGCAGTGTCTGTGTCTGGTGCTCTACACACCACTCGCTTGAGACAGAAAGCAAAAAAAGGGGAGAGCCGTGATTGGAGGACCTCAATCAGTATAAGGGGAGTTAAAAAATGATGTCATGAGCGTCGCCGTTAGGCCGCGGCCTGTTGGCAAGAGGCGGGAGAGGCTTCTTGAAAAATTCTGTGGAAGGGGAGGGAAAGAAAGGTTCGACTACGTCAGTAAACTACATCCATCGATTTCCTGAAATAAGAAACAAATACAGCTCTATCTACGAGAATGCAAGCAAAAGGAAGACGCCATTCGCCACGGCTGCACAGAGGTAGATGGGATATGTAGACTGGGGGAGGAATGTGAATGAATACACAGACAAGCCTTTGAGTTGATTAAGATGTTTGCCACCGTGAAGGGTCGACACACATTCAAACATGCCTGGTGAGAGATGCAGGAGGAGAGAAAGACGGTGATGTGGGACGCTAATTTACAGTCAACACACGTCTTAAGGCAGACAGTTCATTCAGTGTTTCCTCCGCAACACCACACTGACACATTTACTGCTGTGAAGCAAACAAACGCACTAGAGGAAATAACATAGTGCTGCTATTTACAAAATTGTTTTTTTTCTCATGATAAAGCTCCAAAAGAACAAACACTCAAACACATGCCAGAACTGCTACATTTAAATTACTGCCTAGAGGAAACACTGATCCACAGCCATGACAGTTAGTCCACACATGCAAAGACACATGTTAGTGAGAAAGTGAGTGGCTGATTTGGCAATATGACAAAAGGAAGTAATGCATGAAATTAAATAGTGGTTAATGCGGAGGGATGAAGAATAACCGGACTTCGCGGGCATCTTTACCGGAATGTCTCGAGTCTCCGAGTGGCTCTAGTTTTGGCAGCCTAGAAACTTTGGGTGTGGCCCATCCCACTAAAAAAAAACACAACACAAAACACATAATAATAAAGAAACACTGGTCAGGACAAATGTGGAAAACGTGTGTTTCACGGAAAGGAAGTCAGAAGCGATGCTGAGACTCAAATCAGAAGCAGAATCTGGTTTATCTGACTCCTTTACAGACTTGAGGTGACACTGGCTAAATGCATTGAGTATCAAACTCAGGATCAAGCAGTTAGACAACAAACACACGCGATCCATCTCTTCACAATAAAAGAAAACCGCCTCCGATACAAGTGAAAACGACCAGCGAACCGATAAATTAGCTGATATTTGAAAGCAGGAACGAGAACGTACACTTCAAACCACAGACTGACCTGGAGGAGGTGGAGGGGTGGGGCTCTCCGCCGGCCCGTCCTCCGTCCTCAGCGGGTCCACCCTGTGCTTCCTCTTAAGTTGCAGCTTCCTCGTCTTCTTTTTCTCTTGCTCGCCCGTTGTGGCTGCAATAAGTACAGAGACGTTTAAAAAAAAGTAGGAGTTGGTTTATAAATGTCAAATAAGACTTTATTCAAATTTCAAACGTTTTCCACTGCAATCTTTTTATCCCTTAATTTAATCATCTTAATTAATGGGTAATTAACATTAGATCAGATATTCAGTACTCTGAGCTTAGTGAAGAAAAAGAGGATCCATATCAGACACTTGCTTAATTTAACTCAATATCTCAAACAAATATTTGTTGAAGTCGCGCCTCTGTGTTTGTTTCATCATTTCAAAGTGAAAACAAATGTCATATCTTGCTTCCTTTATTCCGCAAGTTCGGACTTTTTAAAACGGTGCAGAGCCGAACCACAAGCGGCGAGGAAAGACTGCTTGCTGCCCTCACATCTTCACGCAACGTCTTATTAAATATAATCTGGCAGAAAGCACGTCTTCCAACACTGCTGAACAAGTGATTGAAATCATGGGGTTTTATCTAATCAAGCAGGCACACAGAGGGCGGCTCTTCGCGGCCATAAAAGTCTATACAGTTAGAAACTAAACTAGAAAACTTGAGGTTTGAGGTGATCTATAACTCACCTGATCTGCCATTTTCCGGCGTTTGTCTCGTGTCGCCCGGCTCTTCGTCGTTGTCATCCTCGTACTCCTCTTCCTCTCGACCGACGTCCGTCTTTGGGCTGTTGGTCCGGGCCTCCTCTCTTTGCCTCTTCCTCTCCTTTTCTTTATCCTCGTTCTGAAAGGAGCGCCAAAGCCGTAAAGCGATCTTTCCTGAGCTCTTTGGAACATACGACAAATTCGACTCGAAAACTTAAACACGCACCTCAGAGATCACGTTGCTGATTGGCTGGAAGGGGCTGGGCATGCTATCATCATCAAGCCCTTCTTCCTGGATCTGCCCGCCCTCGCGCTCCGCCTCTTCCCGCTCCTGCCGTTCTCTGCGGACAGAACAAGATGTTAACCTTTCAGCGCGGATACGCCACTTCCTCTGCGTCAATGTTACGCTTAGAATAACTGATCTGAGGTCAGAATTAATTACAGCGTACATTAGCGGGAGTGGGAGTTTTCTCTTCGGTATGAAAACGATAAATGCAATATTTTTTGTCTTTCTGACTTTTCTATATTCATATATTGTGTCATCCTCATGTCCTCACCTCTCCTCTCGTATCCGCCGGACTCTCTCCGCCCGCTCCTTCTTGTCCTGCTCCTCCTGAGCGCGCTGCTCGGCTGTGTCCTTTTGAACGCGCTCGGTAATGGCCTCGTAGTCTTTGGCAATGTTGTTCAGGAGCCACTTGAGGCCCTTCTTGATGGACTTGTCGAACTTTTTGCCGTAGCCTAGAACGGCAGAGCACGGCTCCTGGGGTAGGAACGTGCATTGAGTGAGAAGATTGAAAGACAGTGAAGAATACAAAGTTCATTTGCAAGATATTTTGGATGAAAGCAGAGAAGAAAGGAGGAGAATTCTGGCTCTTTGTCTATATATGGTGAAACCACTGTTAAACCAAATGCCCTTAATGTCATTCAACTGCTGTTCCACAACAGGTGCACAAACACTCACGATCTGACAAAGACACTTGTTCTCGTTGACAAGCTTCTCCAAAGACAGGTTCTCAATGATGTCTGCTTCAGCCAGCGCTCCCTCCTGGTCTTGTTTGTTGGCGAGCCTGAAAGCAGAGAGGGAAAAAAAAAAAAACGGACTCCTGTGAGTGGACTAGACTCACCCAATCTCTAAAAAGAAGTTATCAAACTCAATCTTTGCGAGGTGCGTAGTAATAGTGGCTGGAAATTGTATGGAAATCTTATGGAAATGTGTCTCCGTACTGATTGTGGATTGCTGATTAAAATACTCTGCATACCTGGAAAAATACATTAGACTTTCAACCTGTGCCTCGACCTGCGCTTTGAGTCGTGATTACTGATTAAGCAGATGCCTGCAGGAAGTAACCGGCAGGGCACGTATTCATCAACAAATTGGACCATGGACTCACACTCTTAGGCCGGGCAACTTCTCTATTATGTCCTCCTCTTTCACTAGTCAGTCTGTTTTTCCAGTTGATCCATAACCACATCTTGAGTATAAAACTTCAGCCTTCGTTCGATACAGTTTCCCTGAATGATAGAGCACTCACACTAGCACAGGTTTCCCCGCAATGCGCGGGTGCTGGAGGACCTCGGCCATGGTCTCGCGCGTCTCCTGAATCCTCTGGACGTCGCTGGAGTCCACCACAAACACCACGCCGTGTGACTCGGAGTAGTAGTTCTTCCAGATGCCGCGGATCCTCTTCCCGCCACCCAGGTCAAAGATGGTCACCTCGAACTTGCCCTGCTTCAGGTCAACTTTGGAAAAACCCACTGTGGGGGCCACATCCTGCGGATTCTCTGAAAAAATGAACAAACAGAACTCATGTTGGAAGAGACAAAGGCAAAACTATGAAGCAGTTTGATGATTTGAGAGCAAACGAGACGGCTAAAAACTTAACCTTTTCTATAATTTACAAAGAAAAATGTACATAAAACATACATTATTAACACTTAAAACAAACAGTCCTAACCTCCTTGGATCCCTCGTACTGTGGCTGTCTTCCCCGCGTTATCCAGTCCCACCATAACCAGGGTCACTTTCCTGTTGGGTAAGAAGGGGAAACAATGAACGCACAGACATCAGCATCAATCAGCTCCGGACGAAGAACCATCTGATGCCTCCAAAACATGCAGCATCCGAGCGACGTGAGCTGGCATTAGCTCTCATGACGCATTCGGGGGCACGGATGAGGCAATTCATAATCTGACCAATAATCTGAATAATCTGACCGACGCAATCAGAGATCTGCACAGTGAGTGAGTCAACAACATTAGTACGGATTGTTATTCCCATATTGGCAGAGTTTACTTTTCCGCTCTCCTAGAAACCTTTAACATTTATTGTAGACTTATAAAAATTCGTTTTAGTCAATATCTATGTGCAAAAAGATGTGTCCCTGAAAGCAACACAGAAACTAAACAACTTTTCTGAAAGCAACGCAAAATTAGCACCATCATTTCCCACACAGTGGAATAATCCTCTTCCTGCATTTAGCCCCGACTCACCGGTAGAAAAAGAAGAAAGAGAAGTGAAGTTTAGGACATAATTGTTCTGATGATATTGGAGAAACTGGAGCCAGAAACGTGGCACCTTGAAAAACACTTTCAGTAGACGCTTCTGCTGTAATCTCACAGATCTTTACGTTTACATTGTGGCTCCTGGCATTGACTACTGCCTGGAAAGAAAGGGACAAAAACACAAAGAATCAAAGAAAGGAAAGGACTCAATCCGCCGAGTGAACGCACACCGAGGAGAGCTAAAACCGTGCGCAGAAACACAACCCGTCTCCGTCTCCTGGGTGCATACTTACCTCTGAAACTTGCGCCGAAAAGACATCAAACGCACGATCCATCTAACCGTCCTCTGGAGCCAGTCGGCCTTCATCGGGGCAGACTCTCGAGGCAAAGACACCGCCTGCCCTCTCTGTCCGCTAACCCATAACCCTCTCTGTCCTCGACTGCTACGCAACAACGGGCCGAAGGGGGAAAGAACCGCTGAGCAGACCTGGCTGTCGGATTAGGAGAGGATCAGTCCACAGGATCAGATGCCTCGCAGGTACCACGTGGGGTTAAAGCACTTACATTTACAAGTCGCCGGTCCTGCTGTGATAGAGGAAGGCGTTCATCACGATTTCCCTAAACCCAAGCAGGTGTTTCCCAGTGCTGGAAGATTAAACTGGATGAGTAATGGTCACCCAGTCGTGTCAGCTCTAAAAATACTGGGATCTGATGGTTTACGAGACAAAATCGTGCTTTTTTTTTTCATGTTGTGCAACAAAGTGGATTATAATAAACTGCTTTGACATGATTGGAAAGAGAAAACATCAAATCAAGTCAAAGCGAACACTTCCTTTAAATGTAAAGAGTACAAAACTCCCTTAAACTCCACATCAATCA